GCCTCACCGAGCCCCATGACCTCTCCATGCCTTCTCTGCTATCGAGAACACTCTAGGTGAGCTCGCGTTCACTTCCTCTATCTACCCGTGCCCTCGCTTCGCATAGTCGTGGTCCTTAGGCCCTTTTCCGTGTACGCCGACGAGCTCTGCGTTGCCGTCAATGGCAGCCGCCATACCGGTCTCACTGTTCCGGCCAGGGAAGTTCCCCGTCTCACCTCCCGTCCGTCCAATCCAAGATCAAGGGCCAAGAATAGAAGATACTGTAACACCTCTGGTGTTTTGACCTAGCACTAAAATTTGACATGTCATCATATGCATTACAAAGCATTCATGGAGTAGAAAATTTTGAATGCATTCACTAAATAAGCTTTATTTCATAATGTTGTTATTTCATGTGATGTGTTTCAAAACCCTAAATAAAGATCATGACCACAGGGGTCAAATTTCATGTGATCATGTGAGGCCATGTGTCATTTGACTCAAATAACCCTAATGGGCTATGTTACTGGTCAAAAATCAAAGTTAAAGTAAAAGAAAGACAAATCAAATTTGAATTCAAATTCAAATTATAAAAGTTCTTTTTGCCCCTTTTGACTAATTCAAAATCCATGTGGAATTTGGGGTTGAGGAAAAAAGCAAAGTTGAAGATTATTTTATGTGGATCAACTTTGGTATTCAAAGTTTTTCAAGTTTACATATAAAATTTGGAGTAATTTTGAAATGATTCAAATACTCAAATGCACCCCAAATTCAAATTTCAAAATGGAGGCAGAATTTGAAAATGTTCATTGAAGCAAAGTTGTAGAGTTTGAAAAGTTGAGCAACTTTCATTTTTGGATATTTTCATCTTCTTTAGAAAATTTGAGAGTAATTTGAAAAAAAATGGACTCAGTGGCAGTTCTGTAAATAGTTCAAAAATCAAATTGACATCGTCTGTTTGCCACCGGCGACACGCCGCTGTTCGCCGCCAACCTTCTTCGCCGCTTTCACGCGCGGTGACACGCCGATGCCTTCGTGTTGAGCTCGCTCGTGTGCTGTCGACACCGCACGCCTTCCTTCTTTCTATAAATAGAAGTTGATTTACTTCAAATATTACCTACTTAATGCATTGCCTACCTTGTTGATTGTTTACCATCCTTGAAGATTATTTCATTTACAAAGGCGTAGAATTGCTTAGTATGCTTTATGGTAGGTTTTCAAAGTAAAAGTTTCAATACAATCAAAGATGGCATACTGGCCAAAGAAAGAAAGAAAGAAGATAGAATGAACTAGAGACTAGTCGGGTGACTTATCTTGAATGTTGGGTAATGTTGTCGACTATGTCGCTTAAAGGCCACTCGTTGTGGATCTTCTGAACGAGACACTTTGTAGTACTGGTCACATACTCCGGTAAGCCTACTTCGGCTAATCCGATACTAAGACGAATGCCCACGCACTGAGAGTGGTGAGATGGCGGGAGTAGCGTGTACCCTCGTGGCTTGAATGTGGCCGGATTTGAGGCGTGCTGTGCTCTCGGGTGGCGTGGAGACGGCTTAGTACAGGAGGATCCGGTAGCGAGGTTGATATATGCAAGATTAAGTTCTACATATGTCGTGTGATAAGGAATCCCCAGTTGGGACTTGAATCAATTCGAATTGCCGGTGCTCCGCGGATATGGAGACTCGATTCATTACAGAAGCAATGTAGGACTGGTGAATTACTAAAACATGAGAAAAAGAATGGAATGAGAAGGATTGGAACATGGGATATGAACACTTAGTTGGAGATATTGAACTAAAGTACTTAGGGGTAAAACTTGAAACTAGGATCAAGAATAGTAAGCTTTTGGCAAAGAACTTTTGAATCTTTTTACATCCTTACCTTGACCCAACACCTGCATCCCTAAGACCTTCGTCCTTTTTCGTCGGGTCAGTCTTGTTGAGTACTTTTGTACTCAGGGTTTATTAACCCTTGTTGCAGGTGAGTCGCATGCGCAGGCTTGTTTTGGTCCCTGCTGCATCTCAGTGTTTAAAGTCGATGACGATGAGGAATGATGAATGGCCTTTGGACAAGGCACTAGTTTGTGTGAAATAAATAATGTTAATGTAATATTATCCCGCTACTATGGTTGTATGACAATTATTGTTTTGTAAGTTTGAAACAACTGGTTTGTAATATCAAAACTTAAGTCTTCTGTTTTATAATCTCTGGTATGTATATTGAAAACTGTTGTAATCTGCAATGACTGTGATTGGGATCCTGTTTGAAAAAGATTCGTGGATGATTCGGGTTTCCCGAGGACACCCGACAGACCTGTTAAGTTGTTGGGAACTTATGTAAGCTATCTGAGGTCTGTTAAGACATCGATAGGTGCACGTAGGCCCAATTTCTTAGGAGGTTCTGCCACAGATACCCCTTCGCCGGCAATTTTGCTAAAGAGACCCTCTATTTTCTGCAAATCAACCCGCAGTCCAAAGCACTCTCTGGAAAATACGTTTTCTCTTTCAGAAAGCGTAGAATTCCTCTGTTAGATTCAAAATACGTTTTCTTCTTTTGAAAACATAATTGCTTCGGTTAGATCCAAAATACGTTTTCATCTATTTACATATTTGCCACTAGTTTTATTTAAGCTATAACTTTTTCGTTTTAACTCCGATTTGACCCGTTCAAGTTGCGTTAGATTCGTAGTTGTGTAATCTATAAGTTTATATTACTGTTAAACATGTTTTCAACTTTTGAAATTCGAGGTTAGATTTAATCTATTATTTTATTAAAGAAAATCTTGTTTAATTCATAACTTCTTCGTTATAGATCCGATTAGCGTGCTTTTCACGTCTGTGTGTTCATAGCAACGTGTAGAACGTCTTTAAAACCTTTTCACTCGTTGTTTCATATGTCTAGTTGGGGGATACCTCTAAAAATACGGTATAGTAATATATTTGCCATATGTCAAAAGCCAGAGATTATGGTGAAGGATTGCTGGCGAGACGGGGAGTGGAACATTCCTCTACGAAGATGTCGATCTCTTGATCTGATTTCAGAATGGAATGAATTGCAGGATGATCTGCAGAGGTTCCAGTTCAATAATGACGACAATGATCAAGTGAGATGGGCTTTGGAGAAGTCTCACATCTTTTCGACTAGATCATTATACAATTGTCTCACGCAGGGGGGTGTTAGAGACAAAGTAAATGATACTCTCTGGAAAAGCTAAATTCCCCTCAAAGTCAAAGTGTTTTTATGACAAATCTTTCATAACAAGTTACAAACTGCTGTAGCTCTAAAAAAAGAGGTTGGCATGGTAGTCCTCTCTGCTGTGTTTGTAATCTGCCTGAAACTGTCAATCACATATTTTTTGAATGTGTGTTTAGTCAATATATATGGTGTTGCATCAGAGATGCTTTTGGCTTTCAAAACTACACTGTATCCATTCAGGAATTGGTTTCCCAATGGATGCCAAGGCGGCTGGGGATTCCTAAGAAATTATGCTTTGCTTTCTTTGCAGGTTTAGCTTGGGCAATTTGGAGGAATAGAAACAAAATGGCAATTGAGAAGCTTTTTCCTTTAAACCCAGATGCAGTAATCCATGCAACTATAAATTTCGTGCAGATCTGGGCAGGCTTAAGCAAGGAAGGCGATGCTGCCAGGATGAAGGACATGGCCCAGCGTCTGTTGGACTGGATGCATAAGGACGTTTTCAATGGACCATATTCAGATATCGCTGTTATGTAGGAGTGCTGGCTGTAGGCTTGCTGTCTTGCTTTTTATCTTAGGCTGTAACACCGTACTGTCTCCATGGTGGGAGCTTTTCCTTTTCTTGCTTTGAAACTGTTAACCCAATATGTAAGACCTTGTTATTGGCTTTCTAAAAGCCGAGTAAAACTCCTTTCAAAAAAGAAACGTCTAATCAGAGATAGTAACTAATAGAAAGCTTACTTTCCGTACTGTCTAAAACCGTAAGTACGTTACTTTAGTGGAACTCGCACCTCAAGCACCGCCAAACAGTTTAGTAATATGTAGAAAAAGTTTTATCTAAAATGCATGCAACTCTACATTAGTTAGATTTTACTGGAACTTTTATTTAGAGGGCGTTTGGAAGGGCTTCATGAGAGGCTCTTCTCAGTGTCGGACCCAGGGGCAGGGTTGTCCGTGCTGCAGCCCTTGTTGTTGGCTAGAAACTCCATATAAACTTAATTAATTAGCTATAAAAAATAAAGAGAAAAAAATAATTTAGTCCTTTAACCTTTATAACATGGTTCAACCAGGGGCTTTGCAGATTTTCAAATCCACCTCTGCCTCTTCTGTTTTTTGACTAAAAAACGACTCCTACAAAATATTCTAAAGATGAGCCCTACCAAAAAGCCCTTAGAAGTGGTATTGTGGTATACTAATGATTTCGATGATGCTCAAGATTCGGTGGGGATTGTCCTCATGGGACAGTATGGGCAACTGCCACATATTGACGACATACTCCCTCCATTTCGAAATATTTGTATATCTATGTCTTGGCACGCAAACCAAGATATAAGTAAAATGACGCTTTTGCCCCTAGCTTGACATGCTGTCAGCTCAGCTTTATGGTTGCTCGAAGCAGCGTTCAAATAGCACCTTCGGGAAGCATCTGGACGGAGAACTTGAGTACCACGCAGAACGTGTGGTTACAGACTGAAGTTTTTTTTTCTTTTTCATCTTTGACAGAAGTCGATTGTTTTTTAGTCCCATCGTACTGTCAATTTAGGAGTGTGTGCCTCTGGTGCCTATATGTGCAAATATTATGGGAAAAATTTTGAATGATAGATGTGTAATTATTATGGAATAGAGGGAGTATGTGTATACACGATTATCTAATGCAAGAGAGGGCTATAGATTTTCATTATAGTTACTTCTGAATTAATTAATGAAGCAGTCTCATGCGTTGGATGATTGTGAACATATGTTATGAATATATAGCAGGTGACCATAGCTGTCCCATATATATGGATCATCCACTGGTTTTACCGTACAACCTTAGTAGCACCGCCATGAAGAAGATGATGGCAGGAATTGAGCTGTCTGCTGCAGATGCCACAGTTGCAGAGGTGAATTTGAGGCTCACATTATATAGATTTACGCCAAGCGTAATCCTGAAAAAGCAATTTCGATCCACACGTAGGAGTATATTATTAGGGACTGCACTGAGCTCATGTTTCAGCTTGCAGATAAGTATTGCACCAACCGGTTCCTTCTTTTGTTTAATTTGCAGGAATTAAATACCGCAAAGATGCGCGCATACCCGATTAAGGTACAAAAGAAGATCTTGAAGAGCACCCGAGATGACATGACAGGTCGTGCATTTTTCCTACAAATATAATCGATCGAACAGACATGCATTTCTCAGCTAATAAAAAATGCATGCAAATAATACAATACGAAGTGGCATATGCATATATAGAGAGAGGAGAGAGAGAGAAGGGGTTGGTGCCTTTTCTTTCTACGTAGCTAGCTACTGCAGCTGGTGGTTTGTTGATTTACCTTTGTAGAAGAGCTAACTGCTTGGCGATAGAAGAAGATGTAGGTGTTGATCCCCTGGTTGAAGGCTGCCTTGGATATCACGAACATGCCAGTGTAGATCAGCTGTACAATGATAGAGAATTGTTTGAGGTTACATAAGGCAAAATTGGCAAAATAAATATGTTTTGCCCCGACAGAGAAATTCTAGTTTCTAGTAGTGTGTAGATCAGCTGTACAATGATAGCGAGGCAATAAGGCTTCATACTTCCATAATCTTCAGGTGAAGACCAAGTGCAGGACAAAAAAAAGTGTGTGGGAGAGGGGGAGAGGAAGCGGCTAGGGAGAAGAAGCAGGGAGAGGAGTTTTAAATTCAGTGGCTAAAGTTTAGGGGTATCATCGGGTATTATATAAAGGTGTCATATCGAGTGTTTGGATAATAATAATAATAAAATAAATTACATAAGTTCTCAGTAATCTGTGAGACGAATTTATTAAGCCATCCCTCAGCCTCTGTTGAATCAGTTTGGTGGCAAGTTTGGGCTGCAGAATGTCATCCCGACAAATGGGCTATATAAACCCTTTTACAAATGCATGTATTTATATTTCTCAAAAAAAAACAAATGCATGTATTCATTGGTATATAATAGATATACTGTGTCGTCGTCAGTACAACAACTCTACTCAAGTTTTGCTAGGCGTTAGTTTCTTTTTGTTCCTGTTTCTCTCTTTTTTGGGCTTATTATTAGGCTGCTCGCCTCTTTTATTAGTATAATCTTGGCAAAACTCCTGCCAGCTTTACTTAAAAAAAGCTTTGCCAGGCGTTGCTTGCACTGTGTATACAATTTTTGTTTTATTAAGAAGTGTTGAAATCTGATGATTTGCTACACTAGCTCTTTCTTGATGATAGATAAATGAGTCTTTTATATAATTGTTAGACCTATATGAGCAACTCCAAGAAGTTAGCTAAAAGTATATTCCAAAATGCAAGATGTATCTATTCTCTAAAAATAAACTTTCAAAAAATCATATAGTACTCCAACAGCCTCGCCATTGACCTCCTCACCCCCTCCTCCTAAGACCAATTGTTGTTGTTGCCGCCTCCGCGCTCTTCCTCTCCCGCTCGCGACGGCCTCGCACCACATGATCTTGCTCTCCTCATCCTTCTCGCCCCGCGCTGCACCCTCTGCACCTCATTCGCTATTGCCGCATCCTCCTCGCTTCCACAAGGTAGAAACCTTGAAGTTGGAGAGGACGGGAATAGAAATAGAGTAGACCTTACTCTATCTGGTCCTCGGGGACGACCATGGCACAAAGTCAGTGGGGGCGTTGGAGCCAGCATGCAGTGGTCGATATGACGGAACGATGGGGCGGGTGAGAGGAAGGGCAGGAGCAGGAGTGGAACAAAGCTAATAGGAAACAGTGGCAGTGGCGGAGTCCTTGGCTCCCGAGGCATAGCACGACGATGACAACAAGGGTGCGAGCAACGCCGCCATCACGTTCGGGTGTGGTGGGTTGATATGAAGCAGGGTGCCTCTTCACCCTCTTTAGTTAATTCCCTCATTGCAATTAGATATTATATGGCTTCCCTTAAAGCCATCAAAATTGTTTATTTCCCCTCACTGCCACAAAATGAATTTTCGGTTTCCCTTACTATCATTCTGTCTATGTGACTGTCAGCTAGCTGTGATGTTGGTAGGGAAATGATGAGTTTGCCCCTCTCAGAACCCAAATTTCAGCTTCTTTCCTTAGATGCCATTGCACAATAATTACAGACATCTAGTTGTATGTTGTCTAGATACTGGTAAATATTCTTCAGATAATACTCCGTATGTATATATTCTTGGAGAAAAGCACTCAAGCCACACTAAAAAAAACTTTGGTGCTGCAGGATGCACAGGATAAAGTCTACTGCTGAACTTCTTCTCCGAGTTAGCAAGCATTGTTGTCCAAATTAAAGCACAGAAATGCAGGGAAGCATTCCAGGTCCCGACGCGCAGTCAGCACAGCCCCGGCGTGATGCCTACGTGCACCTGCCACAGCCGGACCTAAGGCCGTCTCTTTAATCAATGCATTTCGTTTCTTGTGTTTGGACCGTGATGTTTAAGGTCTACTACTCCGCAGTTCATTTCACCATATCATATTGATCTTGTGATTACTTGCTTTGGATGTCCAATTTACAGGTGAAACTTTGTTGATTTTTTAATAATTTCCAAACTTAGTAGAAGTTAGATGTTGATTGGTCTGGTGGTGTATCTAGCCATGTTACAACCATGTCTGGTCTAGCCACTCAAACGTGTAACTAGGCAACAATTAGAGGTGACAATGGATTAGTATCCAAATCTATATAGATAAATCTAATTAATTTAAGAAAAAAATAGACGTTAAAATTGGTAATAGAGATAAATAACACTCTAACTAATATTGAAACTAAAAATACTATAAATCACATCGTGTTAAATGCTAAAAATATTAGGGAAAATGCAAGTATCCATACTAAATTGAGAAAAATGCAAGTATCCATACTAAATTGAGAATTTGAACCTGAGTGGATCGATTCACCACAAGGACCTAGCTAGCTGACCTACGTTGAGTTCATAAGTTATTATTAATTAGTTTTCGCAAACTAAATACTACCCCTTTTATTTAAAGTTATAAGATGTTTTGATTTTCTTATGGAAAATAAACTGAGTGAATAGCGAGTTTTCGTATTCCTGCAGTACAGGTACAGCCACAACGGCTCGGGAATTCCATGGCTCTATTGGATTGGATGGAAAAATTCCTTTTCATCTAAGTGAAAGGATCCTTTATTTTTTTATCAGGAATTCTGCTCTCTCGAAAAGTTTTTCTTTGGGAAAAACCAAAATAAAAAGAGAATGGAAGAATTCTTCTTATTCCATATGAAAATAAAGGAACCCTAGAATTCTATTTGCATAAGGTACATTATGTCATACAATCTAAATATAAAGGGGGTATGAGGCAATTAATTACTTTGAAAATGCGAAATAGCTGATGAGAGAAGTTGTTGTTGAGAAATATGATAGTGTGTATATATATATATATATATATATATATATATATATATATATATATATATATATATATATATATATATATATATATGAATTTATAGCAAAAGCTCTGTTTTAAAAAACACAAAACATAATATAAATTTAAAATAGAGGGAGTACTAATTATTAGCCAGACAATCTAAACATAATCTTAGGTGGACGAGTCCGCTAATAAAAAGATGTTAGCTAGATACCCTTTGCTACCATCTAACATTACCAATTTGGATCTTGGCACCAACCCGGTGGCCAGTGGCCACCTCTCGCGATTAGCAATTATCGTGTCCACCTACGCTGATGCGATCCTTCCATCGAGGCATGTCAGGGAGTATAATATGTTTTGTTTTGTGAACTTGTATGTTTTTTTCCTAATGTGCAAATTTTCCATTCCGTTGAACTAATGTTTTGTTCCTATTGAATAGTATATATTCACGAGTTTGCATGTTCTTCTTTGTTCCTCCTGAATAACTGTGTAGTGAAACTAAAATATTTTTCTCTTGATATTGAATATTTTTTTTTATAAATATCAAACAACTTTATAAGTGATTTTTTTTTCTTATCTAGAACATATCGTTTTTTACAAAGAAAACACTCCATAGAATTATTCTTATAGGACCTGTTTTGGAAGACTATAACTCACAAAACCAGGTCTAAGGTCTAATGCAATATAAAGTAGCTCCAATTTAAAAGTCGCCCTTCCACATGGAGCAACTCCACGTGTTCGGCTTGGAGCGCAGGTACAGCTCCAGTATTTATAGGATCTGGTGACAATAATGGTCTTTTTATAAGCTTGGAATGTTATATTGGCCGATCTTTCAATTCAATATATATAGTATATATAAGTCTACGTGTTGTGATCTTTTGACCCTTGAAATGATCTGAAGAAGAAGATGGCGCTTTACTTCCTTGGTTAGACTCCGGAGGGTAAGAAGGCGCGGATGGGCATCACTCGTTGATCATTGGAGATAACCATGTTGATCAACATCAGTATAGCTGTCGGCCTGTGTGCTGTGATCATGTGAAAGCCCTATGTTTGTTTTTGTAATTCAGTGACAACCAGGGGGACTAACCTCTATCATAGTGTTGATTAAGCTTGGTGAAGTACACACCAAGGGTTGAGTTAGATGACATCTATGGAGGAGATGGAGACGGCCACAAGTTGATCAAGGGATCAACACTGAGAGAAGAAGCGACGAGCGAGCCCGAAGGAGAAGGAATATATGATAGTGCTTTATTTTACCGGCCAAGACAATGGAGTGTGTGGTCGGGTTTAGGATAGATCACTACCCGAGAACGGACTATCACTGCCGGTTTTAGAACCGACAATGATAAGGTTTTCAGAAAACCCAAAAACAAGATAAAAAAAGAGTTGAAAAAATAGCAAAAAAAATTAATATTAGGAGGGACCCCACCAGCTAACCACACAGTGACTTGATATTTTTTATACAACTCATGAGATTTTTAGCGCACTTGCGGCTTGCAACGCTCAAACACACAACCTCAGGCTTCGCGCGTTCGTTCCCTAACCACTCCACTTGAAAGACACTTGATATCCATTTGGTATATTCATCCTCCCCATTTTATGTTCATCTAGTTTTGAAATAGGTATTTGGGACCCTAAATGGATTCAAATGAAAACGTTATCAACTACAAAGTTTTATAACATTTCTAGATCTACAACTTCGGTTTTGGTCATTCTCCATCCGAGATCATTTGAAAATTTTGAATTTCAACTATGACAAAATTCACATGTAATTTTCCTTGGATAGAAGATTTCAAATGAAAAAGTTGCCAA